ATGTAATCTATGCAGAAATAGAAGTACAATGATGTACACCTGAAATTTATACAATGTTATAAACCAACGTTACTGCAATAAACAAAAAATTTAAATTAATTAATTAATTAATTAAAAAAAAAAAAGCTGTCATGGGTTGAATGGTGTCCCCTCAAAATTTGTGTCCACCTGAAACCTCTGAATGTGACCGTATTTGGAAATAGAGTCTTTGCAGGTGTAATTAGTTAAGGACCTTGAGACGAGGTCATCCTGGGTTCAGGGTGGGCCTTAAACCCGGTGACTGGTGTCCTTATAAGAAGAGGTGAGGACACAGAGAGAGACACGGAGAAGACGGCCGTTTGAAGATGGAGGGGAGATTGGAGGGATGCTACCACAAGCCTAGCAACACGTGGGGCCACCAGAAGGTGGAAGAGGTGAGAAACAATTCTTCCCTAGAGCCCTCAGGAGGAGCACAGCCCTGCCAGCACCTTGATTTTGGACATCTGGCCTCCAGACTATGAGAGAATAAATTTCCGTTGTTTTAAGCCACGCACCTCATGGTTCTTTGTTATAGCAGTGCTAGGAAACTGACACAAAGGCCACGACCTCACTGTGGCCTCCAAGACTCTGGGATCTCATCCCTTCCACCTGGAACAGCAGCATTTGTTTCCTACAAACCCCACAAGTGCCAGGCCCCGTGGCCCCTTGTAGGGCACGGGTGTTGGGTCTGCTGTCGGATGTCATAATATCTGACACCCTCACCCTCCCCCCGGATGACAGCCCCTGGGACGCCCGGCCGTTGCCCGCCTGGCCCTCACCTGGGTGACGAAGAGGGCCTCCAGGCTGCCCTGGTACTCCGCCAGCAGCAGGGGAATGTAGTCGTACACCTGCTCCCGCAGGTCGTCGTTGGGCAGGAGGAGGTTCAGCATGGGCTTCAGGGCCTTGATGACCCCCAGCTTCACCTACCACGGGAGAGCGCCTCATACTCCTCGGCCCAGGCCCCCTGGCAATGCCCAGCGATGTCAGCCCCACCCGCGGAATCGAGGACCCATGACAGAGCGGCCCCTGGAAGGGGTCGAGGCCTCGCCTGAGGCCCCGCAGGTGAGCGGTGAGGCCAGACTGCCCCAGCGAGTCCCAGCTTTGTCGTTTAGGCAACTAGGGCAGGTACTTAACCTCTCTGTGCCTCAGTTTCCTCGTTTGTAAAACAGTCCTACAGCATAGAGTTGGAGTGGGAATAGCTGCCGTAGGTAAACTGTGTGCAGAGATCCCAGCATGCAGGTGACATGGACCCTCGTCTAGCAACTCCCGGGGCTTTATCAAGCCAGCCTCCTGAGGCCCCAGGCCATGCGGTTCGGCATCACCAGCTCCCGGCTCTGCCATTGGTCAGCTCACCGTCTCTCTGGGGCTCTGGGAATGAGGCTGGACCCAGTGGTCTCCCAGCCCTCCCAGCCCCACAGGCTGGGGAGCCGTGACCTGGGGGGACCACGGGCCCCCCTGAGAAGGGTGTGTCTCACCTCCGGGTTGTGGTTCCTCAGCCACACAGTCACAAAATAGCGATATAGTGGGAACAGCTTCATAGCAAACTGGTCCTCAGTCATCACAGGGTACATCATGCTGTCCTCCAGATGCCTCAGGTAAAACTGCACGGTCTCACAGAAGGTCTCCATGGCTACGGGCATGGGGGGATGCAGTGAGCACCAGAGGGGCAGGAGCAGGACGAAGCCTTCCCAGGCCACAGCGTCCAGGCCGGAGAGCTCACACGCTTCCAAAGGGGTGTCAAGCACACAGCTGTGTCCAGGCCCCATCCTTTGAGATTCACATGCAAGGGTCAAGGGTGGGGGCTGGAATATGACTCGTTACTCACATCCTGGGGATTCCAACGCAGAGAATGGTAAACATATTTGCCCTATTTTTATCAAGTATCAGGGATTTGGGGGCCAAAAACATTAAGTAATCAGAACCTGGGGCAAGGCAAGCCGATGTAAATAGCATCGAAGACCTGCCCAAGTCAGGCCCAACGTGGAGATATTTTCCCTGGTCTCTCTCCTGTGACTCCCATCACCCTTCTCCAGTCTTCTCCCGAAACTCTTAACTACAGAGCAAGCTAAACTAAGTCACAGTGACAGCTTCTTCCGTCTGAGCCCCGATTTCCTAAAAGCCTCCACCATGGTTCAGAGACAATCAGAGGCCACACAAAGTAGGAGATTGAGGAAATGTTTGGGAATATATGAGCAACCCACCTCTTGTTCAATGACCCCTCTGCCTGTTTACCCCACATCCCCCTCCAGCACCCTGACCGGGCCAGACCTGTAGGCCCAAGAGGGACACGTACCGCCACAGATCACCTGGCGGATCTTGGCTTCGTTGGCAAGTCTCAGCATGGTGAATATGGTGGCCAGGGTGATGCCCATGTATGGCATGAACTCGAACACTGTGGGGTGGGGGAGGAGTTGCAGGGAGGCGGGGTGGGGTGGGACTCAGCAGGGAGAAGGCGGAGAGGACAACCCCACCGCCCACACCTCCAGCTCCCCACAGTGCAGAGCCAGGGAATCCCTTTGCGCCGTCTGGGGCCACAGGAAATAGTGTGGAAGTCAGTACGAGGTAAAAAGAGTGAGGTAGACGTGGGTGAAGAGGAAAGGAAGACAAGAAAGAAGGGAGGTCGGGGGACGGAAGGATGAGGAGGAGCAGAGACAGAGCCACAGGGAAGAGCAGGAGAGGCAGGAAGTGAGAGAGAGCGGAGACTCAGAGTGTGGGAGCTCAGAGCACATCCAGACCCCGCATATAGAGGTCTGATTCCTTTAGGTGTCCCCATCTATATGTTACGCCTGCCCACTGCTCACCAAACGTGTCCCAGCCTGACCACCATCACCTCCCATTTACACATCTCCCATCCCTTCTCCATCCACACACAGATAGAATGGTCTTCTGGAAGCTAAGTTTCATCAGGCAATTCTGAAGCCTAAAATCCCTCAATAGCTTTCTAGTGCCCACCAGGCCCTGTAACTCTCCGACCTCATTTCACACCATCAGCCTAACTCCAGCCGTCTAACTCCAGCCACAGTGACCTCTCAGCTCTTCAGAGAAACCAAGCTTTTTCCTGCCTCAGGGCCTTTGTACATGATGTTCTATTAGTGCAGGATGTTCTCCCCCATCCTGTTCTTCACACAGATATCATCATCTCATCCTCCAGGTCACACCTCAATGAGGTTCCCACAGAGATGAGGTCCCCTCCCCTCATCCTGATCTCAAACAGCCACCTGGCTGTTCTCTTCATACCTGCCATCTCATATTATGATCACTGATTTTCTTATTTACTTGTTTATGGTCCTTTATGAGGACAGGGACCGTGCATGTTTCACTCACTGACATGGGCCAGCACCCCCCAAAATGCCTGCATGGAGCAGGAGCTCAGTGCATGTCTGTGCAATGACAGGAGAGTGAGGGAGAGAGAAAGGAAAGAAAGAGAGAAAGGAAGATGAGAAGACAGAGAAGAATGGAGCCAGAGAGTGAGAGAGGAGAGAGAGATTTGGAGGACAAGGAATGACTAAGGAATAAAGAGACATAAATGAGAGGTGGAAACAGAGAGAGTCTTAACAACTTAGAGAGACACACAAGAGATGAAAAGAAGAAAGAGAAAGATAAGAAAAGAGAGAAATGGAAAGGGGCAGCGGCTGAGACAGGGACAGAGACAGAGAGAGGCAGAGAGCAGGAGGGAGCCCCGGGCCGGCCTGAGGGGCCACACTGGGGCTGAGGACCGTGGAACCCCACCATTGCCGTTGGCCAGCTTCGCCAGAGTGATGATGACAAACTCGTCGGTGAGGTTGAGGGGCTTGAGGTGATGCTGCAGCTCATACATGACCAAGCTGAAGTGGTTTCGGGACAGAGCAACCAGGGTGTCACTGGCGACCTCTGCCCTCATGTAGCCCTCCATCTGTAGGGAGACAGGAGAGGGATATGTGGTGCCACCATCAGCTGGGCCTTCACAAAAGCCCTCCTGCCCCACGCCCACTCCAGCCCCACTGGGCTCCCTTGGGCTCGCTCAGCCCATCCTTGCCCCATGAAGTAACTGGACAAGGGCCTTGGGCATCTCAGGCCGTGCCTACCAGTGGCCCAGCCCCTGGGATGGCAGGGAGTGGGGCACTGATAGAGCCCGGGGCTCTACTACCTCCAAGATCTCCCTCATCTCCTTGGAGGCGATGGCGACCAGCCTCTGGACGCACTGCTCCTCCAGCTCCCCCTCCTGCTGGATGATCTCCTGGAGGATGTTGTAAATGTTGACTTTGCGCTGAGTGGAAATCTGGGAAACAAGTATGGCAGGTGGGAAGATCCTGGACTGGACCATGGGGCCTGGGACAGACCCAACTCTGCCCAAGCACACAGTCCCCCATCTTCTTCTTCCCACTGGTCCTCCTCCTATATACCCCATCTGGCGGATGCCCAAGCCTCAGACCCCGACTCTTCCATCTCCAACACTTCCCCCTTCCCCTCCTTCCATCCAACTCAACCAACTGGCCCTGTCAGTGTGGCCTGCAAATCTGTTCTCTCTTCCCTGTTTTCAGTCTGGCAACTCAGGAAGGCAAGTGTCAAGTGGCCAGCATACAAGGTCCTCCACAAACATGGCGGTGGCCCTCTCGAAAGTCCAAGAAGGCAGGTCGGCCCTGCCCTTTGCCCTAGTGAGGGAGCATTTGAGACCAGGAAATGTGCCTCTTAGTTTTGATTCCTATATAGCCCTTTTTACCATTTTAAATGAACTGGTTTAGGATAGAATTGAACAAATAGATTGGGCAACCCAGATCACGCCTGAAGAGTGGTATTTGAGAATGACTCATTTATTGGGTTTGCCAAGGCAGTCTTAAGGAATGAGGGTTGACTTTATATGTGAGCTGTTGCCTGAAAAGACCTCTGGGAAAATGGGTTCCTCCCTCAGGTGGTAAGAAAATCAATTCCCAGCAGTCAAGACCTTAGCAAATTTGGGGACCTCAGGAAGAGAGGAATTCACCCAAATTTGCACGTGCTTGTAGTGAAATCGGGTACAGAGAGTCTTGGCCTTGCTTTCCTGGTCTTGGTATAGCAAGTAATAGAGGCTTGTAAAGTCCAGTCAGAGACTCCTCGTGAAGGCTCCTGGAAGGAAGAGAACTGTGTGGCCTTAGCTGCTCAGTACTGCATGGCTCTGGATCAGTGTTTCTCAACAATTTTTTTTTTTTGCTCCCTAAGAAGACTTCTTAGATATTTTTTTCCTAAATATCGGCCCCCCTGCCATGAAACCTTAATACCACAAATACATATCTGTTTATGTGCTGTATACATCTGTGCTTTACACATTAAAAAGTAAGATTTTCTTCGCCTCCCCCCCCCCAAAAAAACACCAATTCTACCTTCTTCCGGACAGTATGCCTCCCACTGAGAATGCACACTCTAGATTTTCACAGCAAACTCAAAGAGGCCTGTATGCTTGATTAACACTCTTGCTGCACCTATATAGAACAGCCAGGCAAATTAAAATAAGACCAGCCTTTTCCATGATCGAGATGAATCTTTGGAGAATATTTATGGTCACAAGATAAAAATTGTCTTAGATCTGGAAACCAGCAAAAAAACAGATATTGTGTGGCCTTCTGGAGGAGAGCTTGGTGCCGTATGGCAGCTGCTCTGGGATTATCGGGCCTGTAGGAGCACTTGCCTTTGCTCACCCGTGATTGTCTAGCCTATGTTAGAGCTCCACAGGCATAGAAGTTAAGTGGTAGGAAACTGTTAACAATGCAAATGTTTCCTCCATAGCAATGAAAATGATTCTTGTTCATGGCAATGCAAATGAATTTTGTCTGGTAAGGAATATAAATCTCTATAAGTGAAATTCTGATTTTAACAGATTTTACAGGTTTAACAGATTTAAGATCTTACTCGTTCCTTCACTAATTAATGAACAACTAAAGTCTTTGACACATTAATTTTCAAAATACACCTGTTTGCTGATTGCTTGTTTATTGCCACTGATCACTGATTACAGCCTGGGTATTAATCATGTTTTTTAATTTTCCATATTTCTTGATTCCTTGACATCTTGGGGCTGCCCTGACCGTGGAGAGACTGTCCAGGTTTATCCAATTGCTAGAGATAGCAAACAACTCACCCACGAACAAGCTAGTCAAATGCAAACCAACCAACTCAGAGCCCACACCCCAAACACCTCCTCCATCAGGCGTTCACACTCTGGACCACTCTCCACCTGCCCTAATCACCCCAGGCCAAGTACCAGACAACTGGGCACAGCCTCTATGCCCCAGAGACCACTGAAATTATTCAGACTCACCAATCCTAAGCCTGCTCACCCTGCCTTGCCTGATCCTCCCCTGCAGAGGCCACAATAAAGACTCTTGCCCATGTTTTCACCTCTCTCCTTCTGCCTCCCGCCCAACCCTGGTGCTTCCTCATGTGGCCCTGCAGGGCATGGCCTGCCCCTGCCCACCTCTTGGGATCTGTGAGTAACCAACTATCTTTTCAAGGGTAATCATCTGCTGAGCTGTTGGCCTCACCACTCCTGAATAGTAATAAAACCTACATTTTAAAGGTCTGTTATGAAAACCCTTTGCCTATGCTCCCTGACTCCAGCACACCTTCCTCATGGCTACCACACATCCCTCTGTAAAGAACTCCTGTGCTACACACCCTCAGAGCCTAAAGGATGGTCTAAAATCCAGCAGTTCTCAAAGTGTGGTCTCCAGACCAAACAGCTGCAGCAGCACCTGGGAACTTGTCAGAAATGCAGATTCTCAGGCCCTACCCAGACCTGCTGAGTCCAAAACTCTCAGGATGCGTCCCAGCAATCTGGGCCTTAACAAGCCCTCCAGGGGATTCTGATGCTCTGGTCCCAACTCTACCCTGTCATATAAGACCCACCACGATCTCCAGTTACACTTTACATCACTCACTTCAACATCCTCTACACTAGCCCCCTACCCCAGCTAAACAGTCTTCTCACTGGCAAAGCATCCCTGCTCCCTGGCTCTGGTGTGTCTTTGCTGTCCCATGTCCACCTGCTTCCCTCCTGCTCAACATCTTTGTAACTCATGTGCTCTGGGACGATGGCTCCCACACCCACTGGGTCAGAATACAGGGGAGATTTTAAAACTTGTAAAAGCCCCAGGCCCCAGGAGGTCCTCAAAGAATAGGAACCTCCCAGTCCTGCCCAGCTCTGTACCCCAGTACCAAGCCCCACACCTGCAACAGTCAGTAATGTGTGCTGAGTGGTGGAGGGATGTGCAAACAGCCATGGGTGGCTGGGCTCCGAGGAGCAGCTGAAGGTGAGGAGGCCCTACCTTTGGCACCTGCAGGCAGCGGATGAGAGCGTTCATCACCACAGAGGGCTCGGTGGTGGCCTTCTCCGTGATTATCACCGAGGCCAGCGTCTTCCGCATGTCAGGACCTTCCCCAGCAGTGTCCATCTTTGCTGACTCACTGTCCATGATGTTGAGGAGGTTTGTGACTTGCTGGAATGTACCTGAGACAAGGTGGCACAGGTGTAGTGCTGAGATGACCATTACAGGAGGTGTCCCTTGTGCCTGGCCTCCCCGACACCCGCACAGCCCTAGCTGCACCCGTGGCGTGATTGGGCAGGGACCATCCTATCCACTGGACAGATGGAGAAACTGAGACGCAGCTGGGACTTGTCCTCAAGGAGTTAGTGGCTGAGATGGGGCACGAATGCAGGGATGGAGGTGACTTTCTTACCACCGTCATCTAGCTCCAGAGGTTCCAGGTCCTCTGTTTCCTCTGACACGTCCTCGTTTGAGTCTATTGCTGCTTCTGCCATCTCTTCCTCAAGCTCTTTTGGGATCAACAAGATTTTTCAAATAGTTGGTGTGTTGACATACACTAAGAAGACCCCCAAAGAGTCACATCCTGCATAATCCTCTCCCCTGGAATGTGGACAGAACCCGTGACTTGGTTAGACCCAAATTCTAACCAACAGAATATGGCAAAGGTGATGGGAAGCCACCCCTATGATCACATGTCATATAAGACTCCATCTTGGCAGACTGGAGAGAGATGCTTCTGCTGACCTTGAAAAGTAAGCAGCCAGGACATAAACTGCCCATGGTGGGGGCCGCATGACGTACAACTGAGGGCCTCAGTCCTGCAACCACAAGGAGCTGAATTCTGCCAACAACCACGTGAGCTTGGAAGAGGACTGAGCTCCAGAAAAGATGCAGCTAGCCAGCACCTTGAGTGAAGCCTGTGAGACCCCAAGCAAAGCACCCCCCTAAGCTGTGCCCAGACTTTTGACCCATGGAAACTGTAAGATAATAAATGAGTGTTGTTCTAAGCACTAAGTTTATGGGGATTTGTTACACAGCAATAGATAACTAATACACTTGCTTAAGAAGGACCCTCCCTCCCTCTTTTCTAGACACTGAAAATTAATGATGAATAAGAAATCCACCTCAGCAGCTCTCATCGCTCCTCTCAAGGGGCTCTCTCAACAACAGCAGCTTCTTAAGGGTTGGCAAACACTAATGTCAAGATGGAGGATTAAAAGTGCCTAGATCCTTTCTCCTTCTGTCTCAGACTCCTCATCCTCAAACCTTCACCATCCTGGGGCCCTGCACCAAGCTGTGCTCTTTCCCTCCTGGAAATCCTTTAAAGATCTACTCCAGGACCCAAATACTGACCTTTTCTCAGAGTCCTCTCCTGGATGGAATCAAAATACACCACAAGAAAAATCTCCGTTCTTTGCCTAATACACATCAATGGTAATGTGGACAACAGTAGGATGGGTTGTCAAGAAGTGAGACAGTTGGGCTCCTCAGTCGTAACTCAGATCTCCAGGCAGGGTGGGCAGGGTTCGTTAGAATCATCACTGTTAGGCCCCAGACCCTTGGAACTTTGAGATCCAACTGCCTCCCTGAGTCTTTATCAACTGAGGGCTTTGAGGAGCGTGTAGGGTCCTGCGATAAAAACCCCACATTATGTTGTCATTAAACATTTCTGTTACCCACATGTGTGGCCTATTTGGGAAAGGGAAAAGGTGGAAGGGGGATGATTCACGACAGAGTCCCCTGGGGATGGGGTCATAGGAGCCCAGGGTGGGAAGGTGTGGTCAGGGCAGCGGGAGGGGTGAGGGTGACAGAGGGGTCCTGGGAAGAGGACTGCTCCCTAAGGACTGGACGACTTGCTGGGGAAGGGGGTTCCAACTGGCAGAATATTTAGAAGGTGAAGAACCTCACAGATAGGTAAGAGGGCAGGGACCTTGTTTCCCTGAACCAAAAGTGGGGCCCAAGGGATTTCCCTGCCACTTGTAGCTGGGAGAGACAGTCCAGATCAACAGTTTGAGCAATGAAATATGGGCCTTTGGAAGCTTTCCTATGCATTACAGAATTCCTTTCTCTTAGTAATTCACGTGCCCCTTCTTTTACATTCCTCTCTGCCCTACCTCCTCCCACTTCCCGCTGGGCCTTCGTTTCTCTTGCAAAGATTACTCAAGTTATGTGGTTGCAATTACATTCTATAGACCCTGACTATGTGCCTGCTGTGTTCAGCTAAGCATGGGTCTCCATCTTGTGGTTGATATAGAGGTGGGTAGGACACACCTTTATCTCTGAGGGTCTAAAGACCCAACACATGAAAGATCATCAATTTAGGGCCAGGAGTGAATTTATCAGTTAGTTATTGCTGTGTAACAAACCACCTCAAAGCTTAATGACTGAAAACAACCATTTATTATTATTCATGAATCTATGGGCCAGCTGGGTGGTTCTGTTGATCTGGGCCATGTCCAGCCAAGCATAACGGGAGTCACTCATGCATCTGCGGTCAGCTGGTGGGCTGGGTGAGGGCTGGCTGGTCTAGGATGGCCCCACATAGGTGTCTGGCAGTTGGCTAGCTACTGGCTGAAGTGACTAGGGTGATGGGGACACGTGTCTCTCATCATTCAGCAGGGCTAGCCCCGGTTTTTCCCATAGCAGCTGGATGGGGTTCCACGAGAGCAAACAGAAACATGAAGGCCCTTGGGGCCTAGACTTGGAAACAGCACCCTTCACTTCTGCCACATTCTATCAGCCAAGGCATGTCATAGGCCAACCAAGACTCAAGGGGTGGAGAAATAGACCCCTCATCCTGATGGGAAGAGCAGCAAAGTCACATTGTGAAGGACATGGCTATCAGCAGGGGTGGCGAAAGGGGCCATTTTTTTATTACACACATGGTGAGTGTGTAAGCCACAGAAAAAAGTGAGATACCCTAAGCATGTTATCTAAGGGGACACTAAGGTGATGAGACCAAGGAGAGAGAAATGGGGTCTGCTTGCTTTTCCAAAATGAAAATACTTTTCATTTTTTTAGATTATGACAATAATATTTGACCCCATTCATTTATTCATGAAATCAATCAGTCGTTTCAATTCATGAAACCACCCACTCTTATGTGCTGTCACTCTACTGAGCTTCCCACCTCTGCTTCTACGGGAACTAACTTGAAAATAAGAAAACACCGTATTTGTGGAAACCTGTGAGCTTAAATGCATGAAAGGGTGAAGGCAGAAAGTGGAAAAAATGGAAATAATGTACGTATGTAGTGGACATGTCTGGGGGCATCTCTCCAACTCACAACACTCCCTCTTCCCTGACCCTTGCGTCACGATTTTGGACCCCTAGCAGCCGTGTTTTCCCTCTGTAATCCCTCCCTCAACACTCCTGATTGGACAAGGAGTGGACACCTGGTCCAGCTGGACCAATCTGATTCTTTCTCTTAGGAATTCAGAACTCTGGGTAAGAGAGAATCCAGTCAGTCTTCTGTGGGTCCTGTGGGATCTTGGGGCTGAGGGATCTGGGGCCTAAGAAGCAGAGAAAGCCAAGAGGAGAAGGAAGAGTAAAGCCAGCACCTAGAGCCCACAGGGACAGGAGGGGCAAGAGATGCCCCATCAGCACCATGCAGGCTTGGCCATGAGCCTCGCATCCTTCGGAAGTCTGTCCTTACAAAAAGTCCTTACAAAAAGACCCCTTTTTTGCTTAGAATAGTCTGAGTTGAGTTTTCTTGCCTTTAAACAAGAGGGGATAAGGTCTAGAAACACAAAGGTGCAAAGGAGCATGAGCTGGTGGGAGGTCAGAGCAGCTCGGGGTCCCTGAGAGACCTGGGGCAGGCAGGGAGGCTGGGAAGTGGTCTCTGGGTGGACCGACAAGGGCCTGAAAAGAGGGTGACATAGTCCAAAAGTCAATGCAGGGCTCAAAGATGTGGGGTGGGATCTGGTGTGAACAGCTTGTGTTGCAAAAGCAGCCTTTGTTGTTCGTGCCGTTGAGTGGATTCTGACTCCCAGCGACCCTGTGTACAGCAGAGCAGAACCCTACCAGGTCTTTTTGCACCATCCCCTCACCTTCCTGAACTATATCAGACAATGCTCCACTGCTATTTGTAGGGTTTTGATGGCCAATTTTTTCAGAAGTGGGTAGCCAGATCCTTCTTCCTAGTCTGTCTAGTCTGGAAGCTCCACTGAGACCTGTCCCCACGGGTGACCCTGCTGGTATTTGAAATCCCAGTGGCGTAGCTTTCAGCATCACAGCAACATGCAGCCACCACAGTATGACGACCAACAGATGGGTGGTGTGGTTCCCTGATCGGGACATGAACCCGGCTGCTGCGGTGAAGCACCGAATCTTAACCACTAGATCACCAAAAGGAAAAACAGCAGCCTAAGAAATGAGTAAATGTCCTGGCATCAGGAGAAACCCTAGCTGTCCCTGTGACCCCAGCTCCACTTTGAAGCCTACACATTTAAAACTTCTACATGCAACACAAAGCAAAAAACAAAGGTGTGAACAAAATTAAAAGCAAAGAACAAGTGCAGAAAATACAGAACATGACAGAGGATATGCTCATTAATGCAGAAAGCACCTTAACAAATCCCCAGGGTAATGCACCCCATGGAAAAACAGGCAAAGGACAGTCTCCAAAAAGGAAATACAAATGGCTCATAAGCTTGAAAAAAAATTCAAGCTGTAATAGTAATAATAATAATAGAAGCAAATTTAAAACAAGATCCCATTTCTCACCTATCAAACTGATACTTTTTTTTTCAATATGCTACTTATTACGGAAGAGGGTGTGGAAACCTGGCTCTCTCACAAGCTGATAGAACCTCTCTGGATGCAGTTGGGAATGTCTCAGACCATTTACCCAGGGTAGCAATGCTGCGGTGCCCCACCCAGATCTCCTCTGTTCTTATCTCTTAGTGCGCAAGGGCCCACATCCAACGCTGCACCTGTGTTTCTCTCCTGGGGACTCTCTGGGGCTTTTAGAGTCCCCCCTTGCCTGCCCTTGTGGCCAACTGGAAGTGCAAGGAAATTAATACTACCTGAGAGCAGCCAATCACTGACAGGGCGAGCGCTCAGATACCCCAGGGTCTTGCTTCCCTGGTGGGATAAGTCTGGTGTATTACACTGGCTCCCAGCGTCAACCAGAGCGGGATTCAGCTGCATTCGCCCATAGGAGAGCCAGCTTCTTGGCGGCCATCACTTCCAGTCCACTCCCCACTCCCCTGTCAGGGTTGCCTTCACTTCCCAAATAAACTCCGTGTTCTTGAATCCTCGCCTCTCTCAGGAATCGAAACTGAGACAACCATCAATTTCATTTGTTGTAAAGCACTTTCTCATGGAAACTGTCATGAATATGTGCAAAGACTTAGCTACTAGGATATGTAATGAGGCCTTTCTTAAATATATATATTACGTTCTATCAGCTTGTGAGAGCGCCAGGTTCTCACACCCTCTTCCGTATATATTAAGGTTAAATATATCCTGGTATATCCATGTAACAGATACTTCTTGGCCACTAAAAATGAATTAAATGTTATACAAAAACCTAGACAGAACATTCCCAATACAGTGAAGTGGAAAAAGGATGTTAGAAAACACTAGATATTTTGGTATAGCTGCAATATTTTATAAGTATATGCATTTGCCAAAATAGTAACTGTGGTTATTTCCGGAGACCGTGATTCCTGGAGATTTCCATTTTCTTGTGTGTTTATGTATGCACCTCTATGTTTTTCAAATTTTCTGTCATAACCATGCATAACTTTTGTAATTGGAACATGTAATTTAACAACAATAAACACAACAGCAATGAAGAGAAGAACACCTAAGACATATAATTTATATAAATTTATTAATATGTTTTTAGTTGTGGGAAATATCAGAGAAAATATACCTGCCAGACACTATATTTTGAGTTTTTATCAAGTTCAGACCCCTTTGGCACAAGCAATGATTATCTTCTCAAACCCACTACCCATCAGTTTTATACATCATTCTTTTCCCCCCAAGTCAGAAAATCATACACTGTTCTCAAAAGAGTCTATGTCACTCATTTATTTCAAGTACAAGGAACTATGCTCTAAAGGAATAAACGCTTCCTTCTTTAAATACACCAAGTGACATCTGTGAAGCATGAGCATAAATCAGGACCTGCCATTATTGGTGAAGGAATTAATCACAACAGTCTATGGAAGCCAGATGATGATGTTAGAAACGTCATCCAAGGTTGGGGCAGCCGTGGGACAACCTCTGAAACCTGCGCTCCCAAACAGGCCGCATCTGAGTAAGAAAAGTAATGCAGGATGAAAGAGAGACCTGTCCAACCCTCTTGGCAAGTCATTTGATAGATGACAAGTGAGTCCAAGTTAAAGATATTGGAAGGAGCAGAAAACATATTCAAATATCTCTAGCAATTAGACAAACAATTAGATTGTTTTTATTTTTAAAAACACTCGGGGCTGTTTAACTTATGGCTCAGTATTTCTTGAATAAGCATAACATGAATTTCATGCTGACTCCATTTGCAAGTTTGGGTCACCTCATTTCCCACCCACTTCTCAGTGTGTCTTGGATTTCTGAGATTTCTTAGCTTGCCCCTTTTTCCCGAAGCACTTCTGGTAGCCGAAGACACAAGATTTATAGGTGATGAAGGCAACTCCCAGCACGACGGCCAGGAGGAAGCCAATCACGTCCAAAGAGTGGTACTGGTACCACGTGAGGTCGTGGGCCGCAGGGCGCAGGTGCGGGGCCCCTTTGTGCCTCATCACGAACTCCACCCAGAACACTGCCAGGTCCAGTGGCTCCACGGGGCGGTCCTTGTGAATGCTGGAGAGGCGCATGATGTTTTCTTTATAGCTAAACACAAAGAGAGTTATGTGAATGCCTGGAACACCAACAGAAGTGAACCATCCTCCCTCTGTTTGCTTCTGGTTAGGAGCTACCAAATTTTCCCAACTTGGTAGAAAAAGAAACGTATTTCTATTCTAGTCAGAAAAGAAAACGCACACAAACACACACACTAAATGTTCTTTATCTATCAAAAAAAAATAAAATCGGAAGCCAAAATTATAATTTTAAATTATTTGAAATTTGCTTACTACTTTCTTCTTTTCTTTTTAGTGATATTTTTGTAGGAAATTAGATTATACTTTCTTTATAATGAGATGAAGAAATAAATGAAAAGGTCATGTCAGAAATTATGAACGGTTTTCCATGTGAAGTTGTAAACAATCACATCTAGTCAAGTAAAAGCCATTTTTAAGTGCCATCTCCAAGATGGTGGCACACTTTCAATTCAATTATTGAAACATCAAACGATCCAAGTGCTAAATTTAGCATAAGGCTGTGTCTATGCAGCCTATTAAACAAAATGCATTTGTTTATTTTGGACAGCTGAATCAGAATCTGAAAGCTGAATCCTTAAACATGTCTGCCATTTTATTTGGATACATTATTGTAATGTAATATTAATATTTGGCCATAAATCCTGCTCAACACCTTCCTTTTATATATATCTTCTCTTAAGCAAGATAGATTTTCTGGAGACTTTCATTCATTCATCCAATACCTATAGAGCACCTGTTATGGCCTGGTTGCATAATCTGATGTTCGGAATTTTTCCATTTCTCTTTATTTTATGTAGGTGCAGTCCCAGCTTAGAGTGTTGGGAACATGGAGATTCACGATCAGATAGAGATGGCTCAAAAATGAATAGATGAACTTAGCTAACAACTTACGCTGATCAATTAGTGTTTTTAAAAAATAATAATGTACTAGAGAACTTCTACCAAGTCATTTTTAGGTTACAAGCAGTTGTCTGTACTACCGAACAAAAGATCAAAATTATAGTACTAATGTGAACCTCAAGAATGAGTTTCGTGAGCACATGGAGAGAAGTTGAGTTTTAATTGTGTTGATGTGTGAGCAGCACAGCCTGACACTGACAAGCTGGGCTGCCAGCAGAGGCCAATGGAAAGCAGAGTGAGAACCACACCAACTGCTCTGGGCAGGCTGTTACCCAACACTCTGGGCACTTTACCCTGGGGTTATGTGGACTTTTCTCTTTGATCCATGGCACCGCACACATATGAGCCCCATCATTTTGCCCCCATCTTCCTTTGTCCAGGCTTGATGTATCCCCCTGTGTAGTGTCTCCTCTCATCTGAACACACTCGAGTTTTTTCACATCTGTCCTCCTGACTGGGGTCTCTTTTAAAATGAACTAACTACAGGTGAAGGCTCCTGACACTCTCACAGACACACACACATGCACACGCACTCATATGCATGCACAGGCACATACATGCTCATGCACGCACACACACATTATCAATTGTTGGATGAAGTCTACCCCTGGCCATCACTTCTCCCTGTAAGGTTTTGATCAGCCTATTTCTAGTGAGCTTGACAGCAAGAAAATAAATCTTATGCAGAGATCATTTAATCTGATGGCTTTTGCCTTTTGAACCATTTTCAGAGCCACATTTGAACAAACCTGTCTTTGCTTTTATTATAAGCCTTTGTCTGTGATGTCACATGACCCCCTCATTTATAAATCCCCATGGACAAAATTTCTCACAAGTTTCAGTGCTGGGAAAAGCTTTACCTCTAAGCACCTGGTTTGTTTATATCTTATGGACATTCTGCTTCTTGTAATGGAATATTTCTGTCTTGGCAGGAACTTATAGATCAAACGTCTATTATGGTGACATTTTTTAATAAATTGAAATTTTAAATCTATCGGGGGAAATAATATTTAAAATCATTTCTATGATAAATTCTATAGGTATTAAAGTATCCTTTTATAAGATGAATAATAACCCCCAAATCAACTTCCTTCTAAATTAGATTTTTATGTATTTATTTTCACATTTGAATATTTATTGTGACTGCGATGGCCAAAATACACGTAGTATTCCTCTGTACCTTCTCTCTTACCGTTTGTCATTGATGACAGCTTTTAGGGCATTTGCTAAATCGTCAGAAGTCATTTCCAGGACGTTCAAGGACACTCCAGCTCCCCTGGTCTCCATGCGCTTCGCATTGTCCATCTGATCACCAAACAAGGGCATCATCACCATTGGAACGCCATTGCATATTCCTTCATATATACCATGGGAGCCAGAATGTGTAATAAAGGCACGAGTCTTCGGGTGACCTGAGAAGCAAGAAAGGAGGGAGGCCTTCGGTTAAGTCACTGGGTTTCACAATCTGACACTGTCTAGGTTCTGAAAGCTCTCTAAGGACTCAGTGCTATCCACATGTGGCCCTTGCAGAATTTTGCAGAAGAAAATGTGGGTTGAGATGCCCCACTGGGTAAAAAGTAATGTGGGATACGTTGCCCATAATATTTTCCAGCTAAACAATCCTTTAGAACAGCCATGCCTAAGCCACTTTCTTAATTTAACCTCAGTTTGACCCACACGTCAAATCTTCCCCACGTACCAAGCAGATCATTTTGGGGCAGCCACTTGACAAGGATTGTATTCTTTGAAAGATTTGGTGGTGGAGTTCCCGTGTACCGCCACAGGACCTTGCAGAGACAAAAATAGAGTTTAAAGAACAGAATATGATTTAAAAACAAAACATCTGCTATAGTAGTTAGAAAGTGGAGTCCTCTGAATGAACCTAACAGGGATGGAAGGATGTAGTGAGTAAGAAGGCTTCTGGGGGCTGGTAACATTCTGTGAATTTGTGAAAACTCCTCAAGCTGTACATTTATGATTTTTGCACTTTTCTGCACTTCAAGGGAAAGTTTATTTAATAAAATGAGTGGACCTAGAACTACAAAAGCAGATATATAAGAAATAAATCCAGTTGTCCTAACCAACAGCTTTTTGGAGAAATATTCCTACTTAATATGAAGAAACACTATCCTGTTTATTTTATTTCATTTTATTTTTTTTGCTGAGGAAGAGTGGCCCTGAGCTAACATCTGTGCCCATCTTCCTCTATTTTTTATATGTAGGACGCCTGCCACTGCATGGCTTGATAAGCAGTGCATAGGTCTGCGCCCAGGATCCGAACCTGTGAACCCCAGGCTGCCAAAGTGGAGCACACGAACTTAACCACTACGCCACTGGGCCAGCCCCTGTTTATTTTATTTTTAATTCTCCGTAATACACTTTTGAGTCTCTTAGAGAAAATGAGACCTCAGAGTGAAGTGGACCATGGTTTAACAGAGCAGCGGGAGTGAAATTGAAAAAAAAAAAAAGATTGAATTTGCATTAATTGAATTTGCATTAATAATTGGCAAGTAGCAGGGAAAAACCAAGTCTAAAGTCCAACTAATGGAATTTAGATATTGGAAGTCTGAGGTTAGACTCGTGTGACGATAGAAATGAAGGAATTGTATAAAATCTTCTTACTGTCTGAGGTATTCTGCCTAAAGCATCAGCAATTTCCATCGCTTTCTTCTCCGGAATCTCTGAGACCATGGAGCCCAAAGAGAAAACCACAATTCCATGTTCTCCAGAAGCATTGATATAGGCTTCAAATTCCTAGGACCAGAAGAAAAATTTCCAGTTAATTTTTTTTCTCATATTCTTTGGTGACTGCATACATTAAGCTATGAATCAGATATCTTTCTCTTAACAGTGTGATTAAAGGGGTGTGTGTGTGTGTGTGTGTGTGTGTGTGTATGACAGAGACACAAAGTATTAGTCTGTGTTGCAGCATTTCTCTCTCCCTTCCTTCCTTCCAAAGGAGGAAAGCTTCTTGCTTACAGAGTTATCTCTTGGCTTCTTCTTGGAGATGCAGAATCCAAGTTAGGTTCTAATTTTCCCAAAGAAAAGCAGAGATAAGACCAGATCCACTTCCCCAGGGCTGCCGGCAGCTGGGAAGGTCTTGGGAGAAATCTGGTTTTTGGAAAGGTGGTTGAAGGAGAGAGCAGAAGGCAATGAGGAAAGAGGGAGGAAAAGTGAACAAGCATCATGGAGTGAGGAGAGAGCCTTTTAGCAGATGCTGTGAAAGGCAAAATTGGGGCAGAGGAAAGCTGTCCAAAGAGGATTTCAGAAAGCTTTCTATGGACTCTCAAACCCTTGCACTGCCCCTTTAAGAAAATCTACAGTCAAGATCTGTATTACTTTTCAAGGCTTCTGGAATATTCTTTTTATGTTGAAAGAATGCCTAGAGTCAAAGCACAAAGCTACAGAGAGTGCTAAGGATTAGGCTCACAATTAAGGAAAAACCTCAAATACCAAAGACCACCTTTAACAACTCTTGCTTCCCTGTGGCCTCTAGCAGTCTTCCATACCAGCCAATACATGTGGATGATTCAAGATCATACTCATGTCACCCGGCGCTGAAATTTAACCAGTCAACCTTGCATTTTTTCACCTTTCTTGGAGGAGAGCTTTCTATAGAGTGTAAGTCAACTTTGCTGCTTTAGCAAGAAGAATATACAGAAATATATTTGACTCTTTCTTTGCTGGCTCCATAATGTACTCTAAACAGCAAAATATTCCTCACTAGGGATGAAAGATACAAAACAGGAGACAGAAACCCTTGCCAAGTGTGCACTAGTGATCTGAGCCCCTTCCACGGAGTTCAGAGCAGGTCAAGGGCATGTGAGTAAAACCTGACTCCCAAAGCTGCTGTGGGAAGGATAAACAGGCACTGAGTCTCGACCCATCCAGCATACAACCCTCATGGAGTGCTCTTGTCCTGTTCCAGAAGCTGATTCCTTCTAGCAATATGTCCATCACTGTCAACCAAGGAAGACTGCAGCTGTCAGGCTGTCTCAGGAGGCCTCTAACAAAGATCGCCTGAGGGCATTACAGCCTTGGCTGTTCAAGGACAAAGCTCAAGATGAGGCAATAGGACTTGCTTCCGAAGAAACTTCTGGGCCAGATGACTCAAGGAATAAGGAATGAAGAACCGAGAGGAGACTGCATGACAAGCCCTCTACAGATGACACCAGCTTGGTTCCCTGCTGCCTACAAGACAAATCATTAGAAAACTGGGGGACTGAATTGATTCAAAGTCCTCCCTATTGCCAATGGCATCTTGTTGCCATTGTCATCTTTTTTATCAATAAGTAATGTTTTTTAATTGAGTGAGTTTGCTATATTTGAACTGTAAACGCAGTGGTCTTCCAGTTAATAATGAATGTCACAACAACTAGAAAAAAGCAATCTGTGGTCTCCTTGGATGAGGCAAGAGAATGGGATTTTAGAAATTGTGTGTACAGAGGTGAGAAACCAGTGATAGCAGGGGTCCCAACTAGTAAGTAAGATTACAGATTATGACCTATCAAAGGCCCATCCTTAAAGTAACAAGGAATAGACAGTAGAGATGGATGCCAAACAAAAGCTCTGAAAGGATGCACCAAAAAGATAATTCAGTCAGAAGAACAGCAGCATCAGCTACAGTGTTGAAACAGGGGAACAGGGGAACCTGGAATTAAGAGTAGGGGTGTGTCCCCAGGAAGAGAGTAAGGCAGCCCCTAGATTGAACCCTTGGCAATAATCTTAGCTCAGCGTGATCTGTCCCCAACCTTCAAAGCCATCTCCAGAGTGCTCCGGTCTGCAGGAAACATACACTTGCACGCCCACACAGTGGTAACTCCACTTAGAGGAAACAGAGTTAAGCATAAGTATGGCAATTTTCCCCCAACCATAGGTTATTAATGATCTAATTAACGCCCCGAGGGTCTCCCAAATGGTTTTATATGTTTCCAAAGAATGCCAAGGGCATTAATGAGATTGTGTGATGTGGCAGGGTTTGCCCAAAACTGAGGGGTTTCCTGGGACATGGGAGTTTCAGTGTTAAAACCTGAACAGTCCTGGACAAACCAGGACATTGGTCACCCTAGAAGAGAGATGTAGGAGACCTCTGACAGTGCTTAGCACACACGATTTTAAGAGACTTCTGCCAAGCTTGATTCTGAGCGTGACCAGTAAAGCCAGAATACTGACCAGCCCACTGTCTAGCCTGCCCCCACCAGTCCCAGGCCCTCTTCAAGGCCTCTGGCTCTAGCAGCCGTGTCTCGGCCTTTTGCATTGGGCTCATCTGAAAGGCCAGGGAGGCCAGCATCATCCTCCCCATCATCACGCTGCATTTTTGGTTTGTGGCAATAATATCCTGAGGATAGTTTTTCCGAAGTCCTTCCTCCCTAGGATCTGCACCACATCCCTCTTTCCTGGGGAGGGACAGCTCATCTCCAAGTGTTCTTTAAATTCTTTCTCCTGAGTGAAGGTACATGGCTTACCTTAATTTCCTAGGGCCTTCACTCCTTCATGAAACCTGGTCTTGCATTTAACCTGGTCTAGAAAGCGCTGAGTCTAACTTCCCCTCCTCGCACACCCTCCCACACCCACTCAGCAACCAGCAGTGTATGATTAACACAAAATGGAACCCACAGGTCCATAAACACCCAGCATTAAATAACAGCACTTGGCTAAAGTTTAAATAGCACAAAAGTTCATCAAGAGATTACAGCAGGGCAAACTTCAGAGATTGTGTTATCATGGCCAATGCCCAGCTCTGGGCCAGCTCTTACGGGATCCATAACAATGAGGTCCACCCCCTACTTGGCAAAACATGCCATAAACCTTGCCCTTCACAGACTCTGGAATGGCCAAAGAGTAAAGCAACGTGTTAACTGCAAATAACCCTTGGTCCCCCACCTCTTACCCTTGCAAAAAAAATGAGACCCCCTCTGAAGTGAAAGAACTTGCCTGCTCTGATGAGGCCTTTAATATAGGAGTTAAGTTCTGCTGAGAGTTTAGTATTTTTAGTTCCATGCTCCTATTAGATTGTCTCTTCCCAAATGTCTTTTGTTTCTCAAGAAACCTTAGTAAGCACTTAGACAGCATGTTGGAAATATGTCACCTCATACGCATTCAGAGCCACCTGCAAACACTGCAAGTCCCCAGTCTTTCTTCTCGTCATCATCTTCAGATCTCTGTTCTCACTGATCTTCTGTTTGGCTATTTTCTTCAGACCCAACATGTACATATGGATATCATCTCTGAATCTCTACATGTCCACAAAGACCTCTCACCCCGAGAGGGGACCGACATCTTGAAATTCTTAAGTTTCATTCCTTTGTTCTCAATGATGTTCTACATCATTTTTTTGTCTTGCAGGCATCCCAAAGATATGTCCAACACCAGGCTGTGCCTTCTCTATGGACTCTCTTTATCAAATAAAGATTCTATCTTTATTCTTGAAGTCCAGGACTTTTATCAAAAGCATTGGGAATAGGACGATCTCCACCAAAGGAATGGAAGTGCACAGTAGCATTTTTTAATTAACAAAGGGAAAAAAAAGAAACTAAATAGCAATTTGACACACTAGCAAAACTCAGGAAGAAGGAAGATGACAAAGCAAAATAAAAATAAAATAAATTAGAAGAGTTATAATCAAATCAATCAATTGTTAAATTAAGTGCAAACAGGCAAAATTCACCTATTAAAGGAATCTACCTGACCAAGGTAAACATATCAGCTTCGTGTTGTTTAAAGAAAAAGAAGGAGAAAGCTTGAAGACAAAGGAGTAGTAAGGAGGTACTAGGACAATGGAAACAAAAATAACGCAGGAATGTGATATTAATATCAAAAAGTAGAATTTCAAATTAAATAGGACAAAGAATGTTACTGTCAGGAACAATTTACAAAGACATTCTCACACCTAAGCTTGTTTGTACCAAACGAGGCAGCAACCAACACGTAGTCAATACAACTCACCACTTATACAAATTTACAGGGAAAAAATATGATATTAATAAATGATATCAAAAAATATGCTATCAAGAAAGGTAGTTGATAAAGTTCTGCACCCTCTCCCATTAAACATCTTAAAGTAAAGAAGAAAACAATTTAAATAAATATACTATTTGTCAAAAGACAAGGGCAAACATAATGCAAAATGATAATTAATTTCCATTACAATCAGGAGCAAGACAAGGCTTCTTGCTAAGACCAAAATTATTCAACTGTTTTTAGAGATTCTACTGAATTCAATAAGACCGATACTTGGCATGGAATTTTGAACAGAAGAAATCAAATTTCCTTTTTTTGGCAAATGACTGCATGCTAGTGTTTTAAAAAATGTTGAAAATCAATATTTTGGTGAGATGGCTGAATATCGAGTAGATAACCAGCTAGAGACAGAAATGGAAAAAATATCACATTCCCAGTAGTGACCCTCCCAAAACTGTGTAAAACAAGAAAAGATGAATAAGAAAGGAATAGAACAAACATGAAGAAAACAACAAAATATTTGATGTTTGTTAAGGTAAACTTTGAAACAACAAGAACACCAAAAAACCCTGGAATACAAATTTCTCTGCTCTTCCTTAGGGAACTGGATTAGATGGCTAACAAACAACTTGTGGCACATAAACGCCAGGAAATATTATGTAGCAGCTAAAAAACAGATATAATACTCAGAACTGGAGCAATATCCATGACATATTGATAAATGAGCAATGGAGATATATTATCACTTTATAAAGCATGCAACAAAAAGTTCTATACATGTACATATGTTTATA